TAGCCGGCTAGCCGGCCGGGCCAGCTGCCCGCTGCCGCCGCCCGGCGCCGCCCGCCGTGTGAGCCCACCAGCAGGCTCTGCCGCCCACCGCCGCGCGGTGCGCCGCTCGAGCCCGCCTGCCGCGCGGCGCACCGCTCTCGGCCGATCGCCGCCTGCCCCGCCCCGCGTTGGCTCATCCGGCCGCCGCCCGCCTTGTGCCCTGTGGTGTGTGGATGAGAGGAAGTGAGAGAGAGAGAGAGAGTAGAAAGTGTGTGTGAGAGAGAGGAGAGGAAGAGTCAAGAGGATAAGGTTGGGGTGAAAAAAAATTGGTGGATTTTTTTTCAATGTAAAAATCAATTTTTATTTTATATGTGGCTCTTTAAAATGAATTTAAAGGCACTAAATCAACTCATTTGAAAAAAGTTGTTAAAAACAAAGTTGTATAACTTATTGAGATCTATCATTTTTATTTTGGTCATTTCTCCGTCCGAGTTTGATTAAATTATATAAAAATTTGAATTTAAAAATATAAGAAATTCAAATAATTTTTCGGGTAGTAAATGATTTCAAATGAAAAAATTGTCAACAACAAAGTTCTATAACGCATCAACATGTACAACTTTTGTTTTGGTCATTTTTCTATATGACTTTGTTTGAACCGTTTGAATTTGAATTTCAAATCTATATGACTTTGTTTGAACCGTTTGAATTTGAATTTCAAAATATGACAACTTCAAATAATATTTTGAAATACTAAATGATTTCAACTGAAAAAGTCATCGACAACAAAGTTGTATAACTCATCAAGATCTATAACTTTTATTTTGGTCATTTCTTCATCCAACAAAGTGATAGTAATATTGTTAACAAAATCTACATCTATCTTATTTGGTTCTATAAACTATAAGAGAGATATGTAAACTTTGTGAACAATATTACTATCACTTTATTAGATAAAGAAATGACCAAAATAAAAGTTGTATGTGTTGATGAGCTCTACAACTTTTATGTTCATGACTTTTTCAGCTGAAAATAATTACAGCTTCAAAATATTATTTGAAGTTTTGAAATTCAAATTTTTAATTGATAAAACAAAGTCACAAGAAAAAAATGGCCAAAATAATAGCGGTAAGAACACAATAACATGATAAAGCATGATTTTAGAAACATTTAGGAAAAAGAATCATCTAATTTAGAGTTCATATGAGTGAGATAAATTAGTTTCAAATTTCCAAATTTTATTTTTGCATACGGCTTCTTAAGTCCCTTAAATGGTCCACATACAAACAAATGAAAAAAATTCAATTCTGAAAAATAACCACTCAAATTTTTAAAAACTTTCAATTGAAATGTTCAACCCAAAATTTAAAATATTCAACCAATTTTCAAAAATTTCAATGTGCCTACGAAAATTTCGGTGATACACATTAATTTATTTGTTTCATGATAACATAAATTTATATGGAAAGTAAACATAACATTTTCTATCTCCCCCTTGCCCTTATAAATAGAGATAAAATTTGAAAATAATGATGTTTTGATGGCTACATCTCTTTCTCGTTTTAAGAAGCTTATTTTGAGGGGTCTTCATATTTTGATAATTATTCGTTATCGTATTCGTTTCGATTCGTATTCGCTCCGTATCTGTATTCGATAATATTCGATTCCGTTTTCGTATCCGGGTTTCCGATTCTGATTTCGATTCCGAGAAAAAATATGAAAACGAATATGATAGAGCTAGTTTCCGACCGTATTCGATTCGTTTTCATCCCTACATGCACTGGATATAGTTTGATCAATAGCCTAACATGCATTCAGCCACATCATTTAGAAATAAGAGCTAGCCATTGGATCATTTCCATGTTTTAATCACAACCATTCATTTTGTACCTATTATTCCTCATTAATTAGTATATAAGTCAGAATAAAATGTTATTGCCATAAATAAGTTACACTATCACCATCTTTGGCACCATTGCATAACACTTTTTCATCTCAGCCTATATATACTCATAACTATATTTTGAAAATTTATAACTGTATTGCAGCTGCACCTCGCGGGGTGTCATCTACTATCAGAAAATAAGAAAAGAAGAGAGAGGAGGAGTTAGGCGTGAGTTGGGCATCCGATTTAAGAAAAAGTGCATTTTGACTCCCTTAACGTAGGACAAATCTAATTCGTACTCTTTGACCAGAAAATTGGATAGGACGACTCCTTCAATTATTAAAACTGGTGTAATTTGACTCTCTTAGTGGTTACGGAAAACAGTTTTGCTGACGTGGCCCTGTGACCCGGTCCAATCGGCGGACTCAACATGTGGGACCCATATGTCAGTGTCATATTTTCTTCTCCCCTCTTTCTTTTCTCATTTTCTCCCCTTTTTCTTCAGGGCGGTGGTCGGTGGTCTGCGAGGAGAGGAGCGAAGTGGCGAGAGGGTCTCGACATGATGTGCTCGAGCAGCACGTCGGCATCGGCGGGCAGTGGGTGTAGTACACAGCGACCGACGGCGGCGACCCGCTCGGCGTGGCCGGCGTGCATAGCATGTACATGTCGGAAGGAGGTGGGGACGGGATTCGCGACGGGTTCCTCGGGCGGTTCCTACTTGGGGAGGGTGGCCAAATTTACATATTAAGAAAAATATCATTACAATTTGTCTATTTGTAGCCATGTCACTAAAATTTTACAAAATTAGAACCGTGCCACTGCCGTTACTTTTCCCATCCTTCTCCATCTTTCTCCGTCTTCTTCCTTCTCGCTTCCGTCTTCTCTCTCCATCTCTCTGCTGTCATGCCTCTGTCGCGCCTCATCGTGGAGGACGAGAACCGCACAGCCATCGGCGTGCTCGGCGCCATCCCGCCACGCTGACGGAGTAGCGGACGTGTGGAGCGGTGGCAGTAGCAAGAGAGACGGCGCTGACGGCGCGTGAAGCGAGCCATCTCCCGCAGTGAGGCGAGATCGGAGGAGAGAGAGCTTGCCGGCGACCCAACCATGGCAGGCGGCGGCGGCGCATGGCAGCTCCGCTTTCTCCTCTCCCTCCTCTTCCGGATTTGGCGGCAAAACCCAAGCGGGTGAAATCCCCAAATCCCCTGTCTCCTCCTTCTCCGCCACCACATGGATCCAGCTGTTGGCTTGCCGATCTGGTGGTGGGGGCAACCTCCTCCACAGCAACGACCATCCTCCTCCGCCACCTCGACACCGCCACCGTGCTCTGGCCTGCCTCCCGCACCCCCGGCTTCCTCGACGGTGATGGCTTCGTCCTCTTCTCCATGGGCGGCACCATAGCCGCCGCTGTCCTCCACCGCATCGACGCTGCCACCGCACTCTGCGCTCTGGCCTGCCTCCCGCGCTCCCGGCCTTCTCGGAGGTGATGGCTTCGTCCTCTTCTCCATGGGCGGCGCCATCGCTGCCGCCGTCTTCCGCCACCTCGACTCCGCCACCACGCTCTTGCCTGCCTCCTACGCCGGTGAGGATTGAAGGCGACGGCACCACGTGCGGCGGTGAGGACGGAACGAAGGAAGAAGACAAAAAAAAATGTAGGGGATGGATAAAAAACATCACGGCAGTGGCACGGTTTTAATTTTATAAAATTTCAATATCACGATTATGAATAGACAAATTATAATGATATTTTTCTAAATATATAGGAAAAAATTACAATTGCAGGAATCCAATTAACGAATTAAATTTGAAAATATACTGTTGATTAGTTTTTTTTCTCAGAAATATTTGGGATGTAAATTTTTTTTTGGCAGAAATATACTATCAGTCTCGCACAACCGTTACGCGAAAATGACGTGAGCATGATGATACAGACGTTCTCACACGAGGAAAACGCGAGACTTTGCAGTATCGCGTAACGACGTCACGAGACCGTGCGGTGTCGCGCAACGGAAAACGAAACCACGCGTCCTCGGGCGCACGGAGAAGCCACATCACAAGCGCGTGAGCGAACGGCTTGCTTAGAAAGTAGCCGCATTATTAGTGATTAATTAATAATAATTAGTAATTAATGAGGTTGATTAGCGATTAATTAATCGATAATTAAGCCATTCGGTCTCGCTCCTTCTCGCTATTTCCTCGCGGTCTCGCGTTTTCTTCGTGCGAGATCGTCCATATCATCATGCCCACGTCATTCTCACGTGACTGTTGTGCGAGACCGATAGTATATTTCTACCAAAAATTTACGGCCCGAATATTTACGAGAAAAAAACAAATTAAAAGTATATTTGCAAATTTAATTCTCCAATTAATAACCCAGATAATAATACAGTTCCATTCCTATTGGGCTCATGAGGCCTGTTATGTCGGTGGCCCACGTGAGGAACGCCGGCCTGCACGCCGCACCTCTCCCTCTTCAGGCGTTTCCATCCATACACCATACCCACCCACACTACTGCCCCTCATTCCCTCTATAGATGGCCATATGGCCCGAGGCCCACGGCCCGGCACGAAGCCCGCAATTTTGGCCCGGCCCAAGCACAGCCCGGCCCGACTAGGGTCGTGCCCGTGCCGGCCCGGCCCGACAGCCGGGCCGTGCCTGGGCTGCACCCTCGGCACGGTGGGCCGGCCCGGTACGGCCCAATCAAATAAAAAAATACAGGGATGAAAAATAGACTTATATAATCGTATAAGGCATGGCCCAAGACAATAGGTATACAAAATAGACTTATTATCCAGCCATTTAAACACAGCCCACAGAGTTGAGGGACCAAAAATAGACTTATTTCCAGCCATTTAAACACAGCCACTGAGTTGACGGACCAAATATAGACTTTTTCTGTGAGGCAGCACAATAGCCCATCATACCTTCGGGCCGGCCCGGCAAACCCCGAGTAGTATTGGGCCGTGCCTGGGCCGTGTATGCCACCCGTGGGCTGGCACGGCACGGCCCGGTGCGTCGGTCGAGCCGTGCCGGCCCGACAAGCCTCGGCCCAGGCACGGCCGGGCTTGGGCCGTGCCGTGCCAGGCGGCCCAGATGGCCATCTATAATTCCCTCCCTCTCTTGTCCTCATGCACGACCACGAGGAGGCGACCGCCGCCGCACCTCTCCTCCTCTTCCACGACGAGGCGCCGGTCTCGCCGGCGGAGCCCAGCATCGCCGGCAGATCCACGTCGAGCATCGCGGCAGGAGCAGGACAGGGAGAGGCCGAGGACACAGCGAAAGGGGATCGATCGATCGATCGATCTAGGGTTTTTTGAGCTCCGCCACCCGCCCCCTCCTTCCCGATGGAGACCCCCTCCGCTCCCGCTCCCGGGGATGGAAACTCGGCTCCCGCATCATCTCGGGTGACGTTTGAGGATATGCTTCGCAGCTGCGATCAGAGTTATTATCAAATGCTCGGGTTCCCTGACGCTGCTTCCTACTTCGAGGCAAAGGAGCGGGTAGGTACCCAGATTATCCCTTCTCCGTATGGATCGATCGATCGATCGACCGAATTGCAATATCTTCCCTTCAGACATTCATTTGGCTCACTGGTTATGCAATCATTTTGCGACTAACTATAAATATGGCGACATGTTTTTTGGGGAAAAAATACTAGTCTGTTGCTGATAACAGGTCGGCAACACAGCAAAGAGACATATTTGGTTGGCAAAACAGTTAGATTAAATTTCCTGCAACATATAATATTTAGCAAGAATATAACCTAGACTAGATCGGTGGTAAGAATTCATATGAACAAGCTCCAATCAAATTTCAAATTTTTATTATCTATCTATATAAAAGTTACATCAGAGTTACAGTGCAATTACAATGTAACTTTGTTGTAATTATATATAATTATGGTGTCATTGTGCTGTAATTTTAACCAAACAAAAAGCAAGCTAGTGCTAGCTGTCTGTTCCCGGTGTAAAATGTTGATTTAGCTACCTGTTTCACACTGCTACATGCAGGGCCCTTATGGAGTGTAGAAAACTAGTGTTGTCTTCTTTAGTTGGATAGAAGCATGAATCATAACACAGATCAAACGGTCAAACAACTTACTGTGATTAAGCAAAAAATCTGTTGACACAACTATAGCAACTCCAATGATTTTTGGCTTCCTTTGTAGAATTTGTTGGGTCAGTATATTGATTACGCAATGTTTCTTTTTGGGCTTCCTTTGTAGAATTTTTGGGTCTGTACTGATTATGCACTGTTTTCTTGGCTTCCTTTGTAGAATTTGTTGGCTCAGTACTCGCGTCAGGTATTCCCTCTGCTATGGCCTATACTGGAGAAGGATAGCCTCACGCGCTTCAATCGACTTTGCCAAGGGTGGTCGCGCTTGATGGGCCTTCGTGGTTTCATTTACCCGGAGATTCTCAGCTCCATTGTCGCCAACAACGCTTTGCGCTGTGCCAGAGTGGCCCTGCAAGGCAGCTCTCCGTTGCGCGGACGTCGTGCCGATCCCAACGGCCTCCATCCTTATGGCTACACGGCTCTCCACCTGGCCGCTGAGACGTTCAGCGTCGAAATGGTCAAGCTCCTCCTCCGCCACGGTGCGTCAGCAAACCACCGCACTGAGGGCGACTACGTCATTGAGGGCCTCCTGCCTCTTCACGTCGCTGTTGAGAATGCCAGCATGCACAAATACCTGGAGGACAATTGGGCTGATGGCCACTCTCCTAACAACCTCATATCTCTCCTCTGTCTGCCAGAGATGGTTAGTGTGCATCTACTATAATAATTTATCGCGAACATCCATCAAGCTACCACTATTTTGTTTCTTTTAGTCTGCTTACATTTACTTCATATGCCATTACTCTCGCCGTTTTGTTCAGTTAACTATGTCCATGAATGCTTACATGTAAGGCAAAAATTATTTACTAGTGGTAGGGTAGCTACCGCCATGCCTCATTTGTTAAGTGAACTTTATCTGATTTCAAGATTTTTTTAAAATCTTGTGCATAACTAAGCCCAATCATTTCTCCTTATTTGTTGCATGCATCCATCGAAACTTGTTTACAGATTTTTCATGTTGCCTCCCATTTGCAGAAGATGTATTTGGACACAACTAGATTAATTGCCCAACATACGCATAACATTGTCGATGAGTTGTGGGATTACATCGATAAGAAGAAGTTTGTCCAGTTAGCAATTTTGCTGCTGGCTTCTCAGAAGCAGCTCCATGGCCCCATAAATAGGAGCCGTGGCAAGGCTAATCTGAATGGGTTTGAATCTATTAGACGGCGCACTTATGAAGCTATCAGTGGCCTACATCTCCAGATGATAGCTATGGTGAATGAGGGGAAAAATGGCAGTGCGCTTAAGAAGCTGAAAGAGAAGAAGGAAGCCCTTCTTACAGCAGACGCACTAGTTGGTATTATAGACAAAGCTGGTCAAGATCTTGAGGATTATATTCAGACTAACTCAGAGGTAGTTCCTAAATGATACCCCCCTTTGTGATACTAATGAGTTTTCATTTTCTATTTTTATGTATGCTTCAAATTTCTGTGATGTTGTGCATGCATGACTTCGTTCTGCTAGGGATGCTCCAATTAGTAAAATGCTTTCTTTTGTGACTTGTCAACAGTAGGAGAGATTCCTATGCAGTTTACCATCTAGTCATCATCCCATAAAAAAGAACTAAACATATCTTTACATAAACCCAAGAGATTGTCAGTGCTGCTTTAAAAGTTTATGTATTCCTGTTTGACAGTAGAATATTTTTTTTTAAAAAAAATGTGTTCAATTTGTAACTTAGTAACTATTTTTATTGATATAGGATAATTCTTTTTGTCACAATGTAGTTCTTTTGTCAGTCATCTAAAAATTAACTAATACAATTTAGGGGTAATTTCGTTCATACCCTTGTTTTGATGTTCAATATCGATTTTATCCTCATTTTTTAGGGTTTTCATTTTTACCCCTGTTTTTTTGAAACGAAGTTTTATTTTACCCCTACTCTGGATGGTCAAGTTAACAAAATGACATTTATACCCTCAGTTGTGGTTGCACATTTGCCCCAATATTTATTCATTAATTCTGTTTTTACCCTGGTTTGGAACATGATTTTGGTTCGGAACATAATTTCGAAACTCAAATGATTTTGACAAACTTTTACTAATACATATGAATGAATGAACAATTTGTAGCCCACCGTATGCACCAATATGTACAGGCAGAAATCACAATGGATCCTAGACAGAAGTGATTCTGTTCTGCAAAATAGGGGCAAGAACGAAATTATCCCTACAATTTAAGATCACTTTCATGGGCTGTGTTTGAAATGTGTACTGCAGGAAATGTAAAAAGGGGTAAATGCCTAGGAATAGGCCTAACATTTGAAGATCTATTTGGATCACATGTTTTATTTTGGGCGAGTGAAACACCTGATAGTTGTTCATATGGCCAATAGCTAAACAAAAAGAAGTTTCATTAAAAAAATGGAGAATTTTGGGATCCATTTGGAAGGGAAGATACATAAAGAGTGGTAGATAGGAATCTCATACTATCTTTCCTGTAAAATTCCTTTGGAATGCAAGAACAACAAAGAAAACCAAGATAGTAAGAGCGCCAAGAACATGCGATGATTCTAGAGCTTCCTCACACATAGGATCACTACTGCCTATCACATCATGAAGTGCCTGTGACCACTTAATCATTAATCATTCTATCACTGTCATGGTTGGCACTGCTGTTGCCATTCATGGTGGTGGTTGTGATGGAAGTAATGGGATGACGGAGAGTAGTAGCCTGGTTGGTTTAGGCAGCCCCAACTTTCCATCACCTTTTTTTTATAAAAAAATGTTTTCTAATTTATTGTCTCTCAGTCTCAGTTGTGTACAATGTGGCCTTTGTAGTGGTAACTAGGTATGAATATCTTCTTTGCCGTCTTGTTGTGTAAAATCGGTTGTGATTCGTGTTTTGTGATGTTTTTGTTTTTTGTTTTTTGGTGTTTCCAAGGGTCCTCCTGTGTTTTCGAAAAAAAAGATATATCTTCTTTGGCTATTTCCACGAATATTTACAGCAAATACAGCCAGTAGGCTACTAGCAGTGGTGCAGCCAGGAACCAGTCCTAGAACTGCCCTTGCCTACTAGCGCGAAGTAGTAGTGTATACCATGTTGAGAAATCTAAAGTAGTGAAAATACTAAAGTTTTTCACCACCACAAAGCGCCAGGTCATCGGATATTTAGGACCGTCGGATGCAGCCACGAATTCAACCGCTGCCATCAGATCTGAAGTGAAGAGGAGTGCAAAATCCTGGTGAATGGTAGAATACTCCAGAGTCTGGCCAACCAATAATAGAAGCCACACCACCATGTATATATAAGAATCACTGAGTGCTCCACCAAAAAAGAACGCAAAACCCAGTGAACAAAAGAAAAAAAAACAACACATCCATTGGAGTAGGTGAAAAAGGTACAAAAAGAAAAAAAGAACGCAAAACCCATCTCCCTAAACGCATCCATTCCACCACTGCCTGCCCACCTCCTCGCCTCCTCCTCACCTCTTCCCCCATTGCTGTTGCCTCCTCCGCCGTGCGCACTCGCCCTCTCCATATCCCCGTCGCCGCAGCAAGCCCACCACCTCAGATCCTCCCCATCCCCTCCGGTAAAGTTCCTCATCCTCCTAGTGCCCGTGACAGCCTCCTAGTCCCCAGCCCCATGCCGTCGCCTTCTCCTCTCTACCCCCGGCGTCTTTTCCCCTCTCTGCACCCGGCATCTCTTCCTCGCACAGTCCACCGCCTCCTCCCCCATTGACGCTAAAGCCTTGAGCTACGCGCTTTCTCATCCCCATCCCAATCACAGCTCCAGAAAATATCGAGGTTCACAACGGTAGATCAAGGCGGGCAACGATAAATCGGATCGCAGCTTCCAGTCACCCCTCGTCAACGGGATCAACACGTCAATAACCCTTGGTATTTGGTGAGTCACAAACTTAGTAAATCCCATCGCCTCCTATCTTTGCCTTCCCAAGCTGTAGCCAGGAACCAGTTGGGGTCAATAAAGAACAGTGATGGGATGGATTGATGAAGAGCAATGTTATAATAATATATTAGAAAGCACATGTCCAACTGTGTTTCGTAAAAAAAAAAGGATTGTTCCTGTGTTTTGTTCAGCAAGGGAATATTAATGTGATAAGCTGATAGCCAACTCAAATGATTTTTTTTTCATGGACAATAGGGTCTTTTTAATTTTTTTTGCCTTCTGAGTTCTGAAGCTGAAAGCCAAGCGCAACAGTTCATGGTCACCATGTGACAATAGGCCCTCTGGTGTGTCCTTGAAGCCTGAGGGCACGTTAACCTTAACCTGTTTAAGTACAAAAAAATTTAGGTTCTACTTGATATATCTTTAAAGCCAACATCGATAGCACCTGTTTAATTGTACACCAATCACCTGAATACTGGAGTTTCTGACTCTGCATTTAGCCTATGTAAATGTCAATCATATATTGCAAACTGTTTATGCACATGTCAATATAGGATTTTAGCGTGAATTTGAGAAACAAAATGTAAATGACTGCATCTGTAATTACTACATACTAGGTACTTCTGCATTTTTGGCTTGCAATATGCTGACCACAAATGGTTGTCAAGCCTGAAATTTATGATGACTTTCTTCACTCATTCTGATAGAGCTTCTTTGATAGAAGAAGTTATATCTTCTTACTCTTTAAGATTCTAGATATTCCTACCCTCAACAGCATATTTCTTCTTACTCTTTACGATTATAGATATCCGTACCCTGTTTAACCTTTACGATATTATATACACTTTGCACCAGCGTATACATATATCTTAAATAGACCATCACATACTAATTTTACAGGTCATCATGGTCGTGCCACGCGCGACCTACGTGGCTAGTGTTATTTGAAGTTATGAACTCAGTACCATGGCAAACAATGTTCTTAAGGTGGCGGCGCCTAGGCAACAATGCACTCCCAGCGCGATGTAGAGCTGCAGGAGATTCAGAAAGGTCAATCTTGTGTTATCAATCTATATAAAACTGATGGTCAAATGTTAAAAGAGTTGGACTTAGGACAAACCTAGATGGACTTATATTTGTGGTAAGAATTTAGTACTTAGAAGACGATCTTTGTGTTTTTACTGTGCTGTACTGTTTGTCTTGAGAGATGTTCTGTTCAAGGGTTATTATGTGCCATGCAGCCACCACCACCCTTGAAATGTATCTGTATAATTGTTGGAATAATGTCTTGAACATTTTTTTAGTGACTTACAAATATTTTGATGAAACGTAGGTAAACCATGAGGAGGTCCTTGAACACGTTTCATCAATTCTAAACAGCAAGGGCATTGTTCCTTCTGGGAAAGGGATAGACACTGCAGACCTTAAATGGTATGTCATCTATTAGCTTCACCTTCACTTATATTCATTCCGTATCTTCTAAAGCACATCCGACATATAGTTGATGAGGCGTTCTTTTCCTAAAATATTCCTTCTTGTTTTGAAGCTACCGATATCCTGGGCAAACATCAATTAATATGTCACATTCACGAGGTTTGTTACTTCTTGGTTGATTTTATTTCTTAATACTAGAAAAGAGAAAAATTTATACTTCCACCTGTTGTTTGTGGTGATGCACTACTTTCCAATATTGCAGTATAAAAAACCTGATCTTATCCAGTAAAAAAAGGGGGTGCAACGTAATGTAAAGTGAATCAAAACTGACTGGACCACCACTCTGCTGCTGACCGACAAGTATCAGCTGTGGTGCTCGTAATATTGTCTGCAGATTCTTTTTTTTATTCATGTATGTATTGCTGCTGCCAAGATGCAAGGACAACGATTTTCCTCCATATCGCTAACACCCATAACAATCTTAGCCATTGCCTATTGATTAGATTTCTGGCTATGATTAACTTTCTGTTCCTTTACACTGTGCCTTTATTGAATATAGTTGACCCCTAACCAATTCCTTTATTGAATATAATGGACACTGGGGGAACTAATGAAGCTGACAAGTCATATACCCTTAATGCTGAAGGTTGTAAAAGGGTAAGGTGATACTTTACTAAATTGGAATTGTGGATTATCTTTCTTTTCCCATGTCAAAAATATGTTTACTTCAACAAACATATAATTGCTATGCCGTTTTTTTGCAAGTACTTGACAGCAAAAGCCTTTCAGTTTTGTTGAAAAAAAAAGTTTTAGTCTGATCACTGTAACTTCTTGTGATCCTCCAAATGGCACCGTCAATTCTTATCTTAGTTGTTCAAGTACAGTAGTGTTGTAGTCTACTCCCTTCGTTTCACAATGCAAGTCATTCTAGCATTTCCCACATTCATATTGATGTTAATGAATTTATTAACATCAATATGACTTGCATTTGTAATCTGTTGAGTCTAATTTGTACTTATAGATATTTATAGTGGCATTATTCTTCTGAAGTAACATATCCTATCAACTTGGTCGATTAAATATTTAAGGTGGTATTTGATATAAATTAAATAAACATAACACGTAACCTCTAGTTGCCGCCATGCTGTTTAACAAGTTACCATGTATACTCATTGCTTCCCAGGTGTTTGTTGTTTATACATTCAGATGCTACGTCTCATGTAAACAGATCCCTTCAAAGCGACCATCTAAACTACTGGTCCTAAAAGAAGCGAGAGATAAGTTCTTTCCATACTGGAAATCGGTGCTGTCTGCCCGTTTGCCGGTGAAGATAGTTCCACCCTGTGAACCAAGCAGCAATGACATACAAAGGACTGAACCAAGGAAGGACATCCTAAGTACTGAAGCAAGCAGGAAGGACTTGCAACCCCCAAACAAATCAATCGCGAATCTTGTTTCGACGTCAAAGCCCCGATTGGCAAGCAATTATGAATGCAGGAGGCAGCTTTGTGCTCTTGCTGCGATGTCTCTTAAGGTGTTGAGGCGCACGTGAGTGAATCTATATGGTAATATACCTGTTAAAATACTCCTTTTTTAGGCTACTGCATGATCGTTTCTTTTGTTATAGAATCTTTTATGCTCAATGTTGCTATAATCTTTGTGCAGGCTTGGTAAAGACGAAAGTATCGGCGGCATGAGAGTAGCTGTGCTAGAATCTGTGTTCGTGTTCTTTTGACCTTCGTGGCCGTGTTATATTAACATGTATGTACTTGTCATGAAAATAAGATATATATATACCAGATGTAATGTATTTCAGGCTTGATGCAACCTGGTAACTTGGTAAGATTTCTAGCTGAACACATTGTGCTATCTTTGGGAGTGCCTTAATTTTATGATTAAATGCTGTGGTGCCTTGTGCAATGTGAAGATCGATTTAGGTTTTACTGAAGTATTTATATAGTGGCGCTGCGAATTGTTGTATTTAGTGTAGTCGCTAGTCTCCTGTAACATAGCTATAGAATGGGTATGGCTGCTTGGCTATTTGGCCTTTGGGAAGAAAGCACATACTCTCGTACTGGGGACGTGGAGTATATGCTATGTGACGTCAGAAAATGTATTATTACAGCATACGCTACTAAGTACGGTATTTCGCAGTCTACTTGGCAGGCAGTATTAGCAGGTCTCGTGGACGATCCGCACTAGCTCCCATGTATTGAAATGTGGCACATTAGCTTTGATCCCATCTACTAATTGGCTCTATTGATTTGCGTGCACACATGACGCACGTACACGTACCCATGCATGCATGCATGCATCCTAATTAATTAGTTAGTTAATGCATGCATCATCCTAGCTAATTAGTAATTAGTTATATGTATGCATGCATATAGCCGAACTTAATTAGTTACTACTAGGATGTTAATGATTCAGCTATATGTGATGTATGTGTATGCCCGCCGATGCGATGCATGGTCGCGCATCCGACGATCCGCTCCGGCCGCCTCCTAACTCCACCGATTTCCTTTCCTCCAACCCACCGGCCGTCTTCTTTTGTTTGTTTGGTTAGCTTAATTAGTCCCTCAACCTCAAGAGACGCGGAATTAATCCCTCTCAAGTTACTTCTTGACAGGTAAATATGTATTAATGTTCTCTAATCATCCTTAATCTCTATCTAGCTATTATTATAGGAAAAGAAGCTGGATCCCTACCACCTCAACCGCAACCGCACCGGTGTGGTCGTCACGTCTGTCGGAGTCGGAGCCCAAGTTGCATTGGTGCGACCGCGAGTCCGACCGACGCACTAATCTTGCGGCGAATGACCGGGGAAAAAAAATAAAATCAAAAAGAAAAAAGAAGCGCAAAAACCTACTACTACTACTACTTCCCTCACTCCAGAGTCCAGAGGCAAAAACCCTCTCCGCCGTCTCGAGAGCACCGCTGCGGAGGAGGAAAGCCGGGGAGCCGGGGAGGTGGGGGGACGCGGCGGCGGCGCTCTCTCCCGGCCCCCGCTGCGCATCTTCGCGCGCGGCGTCTCTAGCTCTCCCCCCGGCCCGCCCGGCGCCCATCTTCGCCTCCGCCGGTACGCATCTTCTCGACCTTGAGGCCTCTCCCCCTCTCCTCTCCCATTCTCGAGGGTTTTATTTTGCCATGTTGCCTTGCCTGCGCGGTTACTGGCCGAGAGTTTCTTGGTGACGAAATCTTTTGGCTTTTTGATGGGTACGGTTCTGTCTGTGCGCGGGGAACTTCACAATTTCTGGGCCGGTGGGGAATAATATATGACTAGTTATAACACAGGTCTTATGTCTCTTTTCTTATGACACATTGTGGATCTATGTATGACACCATTATGGATGCACTAAGTAGTTTATTAAATGCATTGCTTATTTGTCAGTCTTGCTAATTTATTTCTTTATTATTATTTTTTTTTTGAAAAGAGGGCTTTGCCTCGTATATATAGATAGAGAATCGGGCTAATTTAATTGTAAATGCTGTTAATTTGCAGCCATGTTACTTCGACAAGTGAATCAAAAATCATGGAATCTTCTGAAGCAACATAGCCGTCCAGTGTGCCTTCACTTCTCTTCTGATAGTTCGGCCAATTCAACGGCTAATATTGATCTTGATGCTGAAGCTATCTGTATGAATCCTTTGAAGCCTTACTCTAAGTGTTGGTTTTATGTGCCCCCGTGGATCAACTTGCCGCCCATAAATAAGGATAATGATATTAAGAAGTTGATTAGTTCTAATCCTTCAACAGTAATGAAAGCTTATGAGACTAGCAAGTTAGAAATGTTGTTTGAGAAGAAAGTTCGCTCCTTTCTTGTTTCAAGGTGTATTCTGGCTTGCGAATCTATAAATGGTCCTGACATCAAGAAACTGCATTTTATGAACAAGAGTATCATTGGCCACTTTCCTGTCTATGTGACCTCTCTCTCTTTGATGAAGTGTTTGATCAAACATCGTGAAGAATACTGGATTGCAATCCTTCAATCACTTGCAGCAGAGAAGGTGATGGTATTACCTGACTGGAAACAAGAATTAACTCCTATCGAGGTTTCGTTCTTCGATCATGGACTACAGTTGCCATCCAAGTCTGAAACATCCCTTGACTTAATTACTTGCGAACTAGAATCTGATGCGTCATACTACAAGGTCCCAGACAGTGAAGCAACAAATCCAGACGTAGCAGGAGGACAAGAAGCAGCCATAACAACTACTGAAGGATCAGCATCAGCAGAAGTGGGAATGGCAACAATTGCCTCGATTATTTGGAACAATAGAGCGATTTTAGAAGGCCGAATTACATGTGGGCTTCGTTGTGAGGATTCTGAGCACGCAGAAGCAATTGGGATTTTAAGCGGACTTCAACTAGCAAGAAAATTGAAGATAAAAAAGATAGATGTTGTAACTGATAATATGGAAATCTATGAGGTTCTGATTGGCAGAAAGGATGTGTTTCAGCACAAGCATCGTGATGTTTTGTTGATGGCTATTGAAGTAGCTAAAGAATTCGATGTTTGTAGGTTTAGGTGGGAACCTCGAGAATTGCTGTGCCTTGTGAATGAAATGGCAAATGCAACAAGAGAAGATTACCGGGCAAAAACATTGAGCTTGAGAAGAATTTGGGAGGGCAAAGTAGCATATTGTCTGTGGAGTTTACCGGTCATTCGTATAAACCAATCAACAAAGAAGATTGCACTAAAACTAGGTATGTCAATGTACTATATGCAATTTATGTTGTTTGTTGCAGTTTGCAATTTATGTACTGCACCATATGTACTGTATTTTTTCCTGTTGCACTTTGCACCAGTGGTGGACCCAGGATTTTTATCCTGGGTGTGCCCATGTCACGAGCAAAATCAAAGCCTTCACACATAAATAAGGTTTTAGTTTATCAAAAAGTTTAGCACAAATAGTTGTTATTTTGGTGTTGAACCAACAGTGCATCCTTAGATGGAACTAAACAAAACTGGAACAACACAAATTACAATTTATTCCTATTTTCTTCCGATATTATTCTTCCCTGTTCTGAATTTCCTCATCACCTTCACAGAAGGGAAACCCTGGACATAGCATTGGTGATGTAGAACGAGTACAGTATAGAAAGAGTTAATGCCTATGCTCCTCTTCATAGTTGACTGATTCAATTTGACCTAATCCTACAAATCACGGAACATGCCTTCACTGATTTGGCATTTCAGTTTTCAATTGAAAATATAGCCGTCTAGAGAAGCAGGACGAGAAATTTTGAAACTTCAGATATATATTTTTTTCAGTTTTTCAATTAATCTCTTCCACTGCCAAAGGAGAAAGAGCATACATGCACGGCTGGACCTTGGTCGCCACGGGCAGCCTCCTAGTCCTCGTTGCCTTGCTGATTACCGTGCGATCCACCAGCGGGAACGCATGCACACGCCACCATACAATCTTTTGGTGAGCTATGCGAGAATCATGGCATTGGGCCTTGATCTGTCTACTTCTCGATGAAACAAGTTACACATCCATTTTTTAGGCCAACTAAAGCATAGTTAGATCCTAAAATTTTTTCGTAACTTTTGGGTACCCGGCACCACCTAGGTCTGCCCCTACTTTGCACTAACACTTTGTTTTTTTTATATATGTAGAAAAAGGCTGGGCTGGGGAGGTTAATATGAAGTTGGTTCAATCAAAAGGGTATCATGTGAACGTTCGAGAACAAATGCTTAAAATTGATGCATTGGAGGGATTACTTGACAGTCTGGACCCTCCACTGTTAATTGTATTAGTAGGATCAGAAGAGGCTGCAAGTAAAGTCTCACTTGAGCTGAACTGGAGGTTTCGTTCCGTTCTGTTGAGGGGATCTGGTCAAGTTAGTGGTTCCATAAGCAATGCAAATGGTGACTGCAGTCCTATTCCAGAGGGTACAGCTCTTGTTCTGAATAGTGAAACTAATATCCCACCATTTTCTGCACAAAAGGTCCTTCTAGTAGTTTATGACACGCCATCAAGTGAACTACAGTTCAGTAAAGATCAAGATACCACAGGAGTTATCACAGTCAGAATCGTCGCTCCTCACGAGGAAGATTCTCTTCCAGATACCTCGACTGAGGTCAATCCTTTCGTTTTGGGGTTCTTTAACTCAGGTACATATTTTCTTCGCTTGAATCTGCATTTTGGTTCTTTACTAAATGTTATATTTGTGTATCCCACTTGCAAGTTATTCACTTGAATCTGCATTTCGGTTGTCTTTACTAAATGTTATATTTGTGTATTCCACTTGCAAGAAATTAATACATGTAAAACCATGCAGCTAAAACAAAAGCACACAGGAAGGAAAAGACATCAAATAAATCCTTTGGAGAAATTTGGTCAACGTGGGAAGATAGAAAAGGCTGATGACTCTGTTGTCTTCAATTCGATGCCCTTTACATGCTCTTCAATATGCTTGCTTCTTTTTGGGGGGAATTTTAACTATTTGCCACTTTTCTGTTTGCTAATTATTCAAATACCCCTTTTAGGTTTGTACTTTAATCTGTCATTGGAGAGAGAAGAATTCTTAATTTTATGCTACTTTTGCTTATGTGGCGGGACAAATTAGATTGGCAGCTTGGATGTATGGTGTGAAATGTCTAGACCTCACCCGTCATTTATCTATCTCTCTTCTCTCCGGTCCGGTGTACGGACCACGAGCCCACGACCGATCCATGGTGGGGCGGTAGGTCGTTGTGGCACATCCTGACGCGATGGCCGCTCCATACTTGTAGCCCAGGATTCAAACATACTTGCAGCCAAGAAATAGTCCGAATGAAATCAATCGCAAAGAGACAACAATAGTACGTAATATCGAAGGGAACAGCCGATGAAACCATGATACAAACGAGCATATCGTTCAGAAAAGAAGCGATATATGCAAGAACATCTCAAATCAGAGAGCACGCACGCAATGGATTTGTACATGGATAGAAGAAGATCGATGGATGGATGTGTTTTACCGGAGGAAAGGATATTACGGAGCGATCTGCCAGGGATGGAGCGGCCGTCCGTCGTGCCGCATCGGCGCATGCGCTGCTGCGCCAGGCTGTGCCATAGCGCCGCCTGCCCCAGCAGGAGTGCAGGACGCCACCGCTCCCCCGCGCTTCGTCCGCCGCCCGTACGCTGGAGAAAATAAGGTTGGAGGGATGGTGCTGACACTCACAGGTGAGGTCTACGCTGGCAATCTGATTTGTCTCGCCACATATGCAAAAGTGGCATCGAATTAATAATCCTTCTCTCTCCTGTAACATATTAGTAAGTGCAAACTTAATATGGGTATTTGGATAATTGGCAAACGTAAAATTGACAAATAGTTAAATTCTCCACAAATTTTAGGCTGAAATTCTATTTATTATCCTCCATTTATTTTCCTCCCACCTTCTCAAAAATATATTTGTTAGAGGCATATCACGAGGGCCTTCAATCGGACCTGACGAAACCACCGACACCATAAGACGTCGGCTGAGTCCAAGGGGTGCACCTGGGGCGAAGACCGAAGGATTCGCCACCAAGGTCACCATCCGGCCAAGTCGCTACCTCGACTCAGCAAGCAGCGGCTTCGACCACGCTCAACTCTACTCAAGAAGGCGTTGACCTCGAAGCACAAGCCGAAGCAGAGGTGGGTGCGATGCGCCAAAACATGAATAAGCTGCAAGACATGCTTCGCCAAATGCAAGAGCAGCATCAAGCGCACGAGGCAGCTAGGCAAGTCAAGTAAGTTTCGGCAGCCCCCCCATCCATCTTCGATAGCGATGATCGTCGCCCAAGCTCCAGCTACCCACCAAGCTTTCGGCCAAGCTGTCCCTCCTCATGTGGCGCAGGCATTGAGCATGATTAGGCAGGCCAACCAAGCTCCGACGTACGTTGCCAAGACCGCTCCGACCGTCACTGCACGGCCAACCCCTCACACCACCATGGCGCCAGTACGGCCAGCGGCGATGCAAGTACAGCCAGCGAAACTAGTCCAAATGCCGCATACCACGATGGAAACAACTTCGGCCCTACAAGCGCAACTTCAAGCTTTTCTTCAACAACTCAACCAACCCCACACCATTCCAAGACCAGCCCCTTTGGCGCACGCCATCGGGAGCTCAAGTCTGGCAACCATCAAGTCAGTTCGGCGCCGTGCACCAGGCGAACCAACAAGGACAAGGGGCATTGACCTGGCAGCAGGCGCCGCACTTCGAACAGAATGCCGCGGTCCAAGCACCTTCGACTGACCTTCAAGGGATGATCGCCGGTATCAACACCACGCAACAAGCGAACCAGCCAAATCAGGGCGCCATGACTTGGGCCCACGTACCACAGTTCGACCCAAGCATGGCGGTCCAAGCGGTTTCATCAGATCTGCGTGGAACGCTGTCCAGAACCGGGCCCCAGCCGAACTCAATGGCACATCATCACATGCAACAGCGATGGCTTCGCCATTCGTGGCTCCGTATCAAAGCTTGAACTCACCTTTCCAGCAAGGCATGATGACAAGGGCTGGGGACGAAAAGAAGCTGCCACTAAGCTGGGGGCTCAAGAATCATCCCATTCCCCCAGTTCAAGTACCCACCCGTTGCAAGATACTCAGGCGAAACAGATCCAAGCGAGTTCTTGTTGATCTACAAGTCTGCAATCGAAGCAGCTCATGGCGACGAAAACACCAAGGCGAAGGTAATACATCTTGCGCTTGATGGAATCGTCCGCTCTTGGTATTTCAATTTGACCTCTAATATCATTTACTCATGGAAGCAACTTCGTGATATTTTCATTCTTAACTTCCGAGGTATCTATGAGGAGCCGAAGACCCAACAAGACCTCTTTGGCATTCGCCAAAAGCCAGGCGAATCAACAAGGGAGTACGTGCGACGTTTTTCGCAAGCACGATGCCAGGTGCAAGACATCTCGGAGGCATCCGTCATCAATGCTGCTTCGGCAGGCCTCCTCCCAAGCGAATTGACAAGAAAAATAGCAAGAAAGGAGCCACAAACTGTCGAGCACCTGTTTCGCATCGTTGATGGCTATGCGTGGGGCGAATAAGACACAAAGCAAAGGCTTGAAATTCAAGCTGACTATGACAAGGCCGCCACTGCCACGGCTGCGCAAGCGACGGCGCAAGCAGCCAGAGCCGTGCCTATAGCAAATCGCTAGTTGCAGCTGGTGAATCAAGCGCCGCTCCCAAGACCCAGCCAAGATCCCATGACTTGGAAAAAGTTCAGAACCGAACGCGGAAAGGCAGTGATGGCGGTCGAAGAGGTTCAAACTCTCCGAAAGGAGTTCGACATAGATACATGCTGTCACTATCAATGGCCCACCTCTACTGTCCCGTAGCATATATGCCCAGATAATGATACTTAATAATCTAGACACCACGTCTACATTATTAAATATTACTCTATATCCTCTGGAATGACATGGAGCAACCGAATAATCGGACATTAAACCCATACCATTGCACCTCTCTGGTAAGCTAGCTACACAACTAATACGACACAAATATAACATAAAGCCGATACTTAGATAAAGTAAAGTACCGAGAGTATATAAAGAAGAATATTCTATTAATTCCGAAAATCTTACAAAAGAGGAAAGTAGAACTACTAAAGCCATACCTGAACTCCTCCGAAGACTTCGAGGATTCCGAGAGCTATTCTATTCTACTCCACTTAGCACTAGAGCACTAAACTAAAGTATGGAGAGATCTTGAGCTTGCTTGAGTGTGTGAGGGAGTGAATGAGGCCTCCTCCTTTTATAGGCAGGTAATTACGGTTACTTCTATACAAATTGTCCAAACTACCTCGCAACTGTCATTGGGAAGCAATCAGGATCGTCCACGTGGGACGCCAAGATAAGAGGAGCTAGTCAGGGTTCGCCGAACCTAGGCTGGCCCAACAGGCCTCCAGCTTCGGTAGGGTCACTGACAGGTGGGTCCTTATGACGGTTATGGTAGTTTTTGTGGTTTCCAGGACGGTTACACCTGACATGTGGACCCATATTATCCTTTAGCTTGATTAGGAGTGAGTTTTCCTCATTTTTTCGTTTATTTTATTTGCTCAATTCTAGCAACAAATAATACTACAAGTACAAGTGGAAATATACTATTCTAAAACAAATATGCATTATAAGCATAACTAGTTCTTCTTTATTTTAGTTATATTGACGATCGAAATTGGTCTATAACGACCGTCAACAACCTCCTAGCCTCTCCTTCGGTTGGGAGGCTGCACCAACATCTTGTACCTTTGTTGGGCTCAATCCTATGATTTTGATTAACATCTGGGCCCTTCAATCCATGTAAATGCGTCCCAATTTTTTGTAGGTGTATTTTCGTTGCATGACGGATGCATTGTCTCCTTAATTGACATGCATACATAGATTTACTAAAACTAGTGAAAATGGTTAGTTGTAAATCCCAGTCACTAAGATTTGATACTATATTTTATATTTCTTATGTAGGAGTTGATGGTTAAAGTTTGTACTTAACGACCGTCAACAACACCTCCACACTTATCTTTTACTCGTCCCTGAGTAAAGCTCATGGATCTACTACAGTTATGGCTTTCTGTCCAATGATATGATACACAAAATATTCCAAGACATACCTGTGTATTTGAACCTTGATGTGTCTACCATGTCATCTTGATTGAAGAATGAAACGGTCATCGACTCAAGTCAGCTTTACTCCTTCTGATGAATTACCCTGGGGTTTTCTTTGGTGCTTGTTTAGGATGAAAAATAACGTCCGAGATCTCTCTCTATTTAGAGAGATATGTGTGTGTGGGTGTGCCAATGTACCTAAATACACCATAAACAACACATAGGGAACATGCACTTTATTAATCTCGAGGATCATAAATACAAAATCTCATGTAATGATACACGCTACATAGTCCGTCATTGGACATATCCGAATTGTGCGATGTGGTCTTCCTGGTTCCTAGGGCCTCGATAAGCTCCCATTTAATTACCTCCGCAGGCGAAGGCCTACAGCAGGACCTCGGATTAAGCTGCTTGTGGTCATCTTGTCGTCTTCGTTTCACAATCTCCATGCATGATTTTGGTGGTGTAGATGTGGGCGCCGGCAACGATCCACAACCTCGTCGGTCCGTGCACCGGTGTTGGTGACATAGCCTTCGCATCGGCTTCACTCGCCCTCGTCTAGTCTCGCCGGTCTTGAGCGATGTGTTGGTGTAGATTGCTTGAATAAGACATACATGGATTCGCGTAGCTTGGATGGCTTGACGTCATAGAAGTTCACTACTACAAAACATCAAATAGGTGTTGGCACTATAGGTGCCGGAGTGCTAAAACCGGCACCAATAGGCCTTTTCCCACCTCTGTGGGTTGAAATCGCAAAAAAGGGCACCTTTAACCAATTATAGGTGTCGGTTCTAAATAAAAACCTACACCTATTCTATATGAGTCGGTTTTTTAAAAAAATCGGAACCTTTACTATAAAAACTGGCACCAATAATAAATTATAGGTGCTGTTTTTTTTTCTAAAAAAGGCACCTACGAATTGAGCCGAGCCGATTGGCCCCACCACGACGCGTCGAGGAGATAAGGTCTGCTCGCTCGTTCGAACTCTCT